CCTATTAATTAAAAGGCACTGTGAGGACAGGTATTGCCTCTTATTTATCTTGATATACTCCAGAATGGAGTATTTAGCTTGGCTTAAATGTTAATTCTGTTAAACAGAATACTCAATAATTTTTTCCTTTTTTTAGTTAAATGGAAAGAACAATTACTTAATATCAGAACTGTGAAGTTTCATTCAGAGAGGCTGAACAGATTTCAGCTGAAGCTTAAAAATTCATTTTTCTGGCACCTTTGCAATGAGGAACTAGATAACTTTCTATAACTTGGTTAACCTGAAATTGAATTGTTCTAGTTACAATGTATAGATATCATAACCTTAACAGATCTATGTCCTGTTATAAAACAGAAACACTCATGTTGAATTTTTCATTATATTGGATATAACAGAAAATATTAATAATCATCTGACCTTTAAATATTCGTGAGTCCAGATTCAACATTTATTCTGAAGGTATAACTGATTTTGAAATGCCTTTGGTCAAAAACAAACCACTTCCACATTTTAACAAGTAGATAGTTAGAATGCTAGCAGAAGTTCCCAATCCCTGAATGGCATATTCCCAGGGGCCATACAGTTACTGCAAAGATGAAAGAATCTACCAAAGACTAAGCACAGTCTGTAACTTCACTATCTGCTACAGTAGCTACTAGCTACATGTAGCTAGGAAACATTTGAATTGTGGCTGAATGAGGATGTGCTATAGTTGTAAAATGCACACTGCAATTCAAAGATGCTATATGCAAAATAGAATGTAAAACATCACTTTTATATTGACTACATGTTGACACATTTTCAGTACATTAGGCTAAATATATTATTAAAATTAATTGTATCTGTTTTACTTCTTTAATGTGTCACTACAAAATTTAAAATCATACACACAGGCCAGGCGTGGTGGCTCATGCCTGTAATCCTAGCACTCTGGGAGGCCGAGGCAGCGGATTGCTAGAGGTCAAGAGTTCAAAACCAGCCTGAGTAAGAAGAGTGAGACCCCTGTCTCTACTAAAAATAGAAAATTAATTGACCAACCAAAAATATATATACAAATTAGCCGGGCATGCTGGCACATGCCTGTAGTCCCAGCTACTTGGGAGGCTGAGGCAGGAGGACTGCTTGAGCCCAGGAGATTGAGGTTGCTGTGAGCTAGGCTGATGCCACAGCACTCACTCTAGCCTGGGCAACAAAGTGAGACTCTGTCTCAAAAAACAAACAAACAAAAAATAAATAAATAAAATCATACACACAGCTCACATTACATGGGACACCATTGCAGTAGACTGAATAATTTATGAAACATGTTTTGCCAGTTAACAAGTTTATGATACTATTGAGACTACTAAATTCATTTATAAGTTTTGCTGAATTCATTCATTATTTATGCTAAAAGTAAAACATCAGTGAGAAACAAAATACTTTTGATATTAGAATATTTATACCCAAATAATGGGAACCACTACTTTATGAATTCACTAATAGATTTTATGTTTTTTTGAGAATGGAGATAGTTGATAAATAAGAGGTCAGCCAGTGACTGTGCAAAGCACTCCACGTTGGCTCTTGGAAAAAAGCTTTGTGAAAAATGTTCAACTGTAAGTAAAAGGAGAAAATGGCCTTTTATCTCCCAGGGTGAAGTTTTGCATAGATATGATGGGCCAAAAAAGCAAGTCCAAAGGGGTTCTAAATTGGGAGGGATATTTTAGGAATGAAGGTTAGAGAGAAGGCTCTCTGTAGGAATAATTCCAGCAGCAGTTTCCAAAAGGGAGAAGATACAGAGAATGAAATGCCTGGCTTACAGAACTCTATTTGTTTTGAGGACATATAATTAAGGATTATTAGCTGTATATATATGCATATATATATATATAATTTATATAAAATATAATAAACTTGTACTAGCTCATATAAACTTTATCTATCTGGAGTAAATTAAGGACAATAATATTGTTTCTTTTAGTCAAGAGTGTCATTTGCCATACTTGAAAACTAAGGAATATGGCTGGGCACAATGGTTCACGCCTATAATCCCAGCACTTAGAGAGCCCGAGGTGGAAGGATCAGTTGAGGCTAGGAGTTTGAGGCCAGCCTGAGCAACATAGGGAGACCCCCATCTCTACAAAAATTAAAAACATTAGCCGGGTATGATGGTGTATACCTGTAGTTCTAGCTACTTGGGAGGTTGAGGTAGGAGGATCCCTTGAGCCAGGAGTTCTGGGTTACAATGAGCTATGATCATGCCACTGCACTCCAGCCTGGGTGACAGTGAGACATTGTCTCAAAAAACAAAACAACAAAAACTAAGGAATATGGAGAAATTATTCCTAATCTAGACATATAAATACTCAAGAGTAACAGAAAAATACACCTAAAATGGTTTCTGCTAGCTTTTATTTGAGAAAATTTACACAAAGATCCCCAATTCAACATTTACAAGTAAATCTGTATAAATCCCACATGCCTGTTTCCATTAAACAAAAAAATGGCTTTATGACAGGGGTACATGATAATGGTAAAACAAAACTTACTTCAACTGTATCATTCTCATTTATATTATACATAGCATTTTGAATAATATGCTAAATAATAGAGGAAAGCAGATAATATCCCTATTTTTAAGCTGATTTGCTCTTGTACCAGCTTTTTGTCAAAGGCAAATACTTTTACTTTTTGGACAAAATCAAGGTATAATATCGATTAACTTTTAAACCAAAAGCACAAAAATGTCCAAGTTGGTAGTTTTAGCATGAATAAAAGCAAGGGACGTGAAATAATTTCAGTTCCACAAAACTTAGAGTCACACCTGGGAACAGAAACATCAACAAAATAAAATATTCTCTTCTACTATCTTCTTGACATTTTATCAGATCAGAAGACCATAACTAACAGAGTAGCTTTCATTGTTCCTAAAAAGGGGAAAGGCACCAGTTAGAAATAGGAAAGAGTATCTTGTTAGGCTAATGGTACAGAATAGAATTCCACATTTAAAAGTCTAAGTATGGATCTTAAGCCACAAATTTGTTTATTCTTTTTCCCTACTTGGATGCATCCTCTGTCATTTAGTATATAAAATACTAAAGATAGACTTTCTCACCATCTGCTGCCCCACTTTGGAAAGGATTCTACTGCCTGGTTCTCAGAAGCAGAACCTATCAATTCTCAACAGATGGCAATGTTGCGCAAGTTAAAGACAGAACTACTTTCATACCACACAAGAGGAATGAATATACAGGGAGTCAAAAAGAAAAACAAAAAAGGCTTTTAGGTTCACAGTAGCTGGAACATTACCAGAATAGCCTGAGATTTTAACAACACAACTCACTGCCTCTTTCACCTTTGTACTTCATCCATGTCAACACAACAGTGTTCTCTATGATAATTCCAATATTCTACTTCTTCACTGCAAGCTACATGTAATTCTTGCCACTGTGATTAGACAAGCCTTGTACATAGCATGGTTTAAAAGAGATTACAGAGAAGATAAACTCTTACCTTTCCTAGGAAATGAGGGAAAGATTTCAAGTGACAGTATTTTTTATAACTTTATGAACATGGTCATTTGTATCCATATCTTTTCTTATTTACATTCAACATGTATTTTCAAGTATTTACTCTATGACCCTCCCAGATGTCTATTTTATACCTCATACATCTTAATTCTCTAGATGGAACACGTAAGAACAGGAATTAAGTCAGTGACTGGCCATGCAAGAAGAGTTGGCAAATTTTACTTATTTTTCGTTGGTAGAAGTTACGTTAAAAATTCAAGCAAACCACATACTAAGGACTTGTATCTAGGATATATAAGAAATTCTCAAAATCCAAATGATCTAACTAGAAAATAGGCAAAAGACATGAATAGGCATTTCACTGAAAAGGATATATAGATGGCAAGTGAACAAATGATAAGATATTCAGCATCATTAGCCACTGGAAAATGCAAAGTAAAACCATATGAGATATCATTACACATGCCTATCTCAAAGGCTAAAATTTAAAAAAAAAAAAGTAATTATGCCAAATGCTGGTTAGGATGTAGAGGATGTGAAGAAACTGATCAGTCACACATTATTGGTGAAACATAAAATGGTACAACCACTTGGAAAAGGACAGTTTCTTACAAAAATGTGTTTACAACACAACCCAGCAACTGCCCTTTTGGGCATTTATCCCAGTCAAATGAAAATTTATGTTCACATAAAAACCTGTACATGAATGTTCACAGCAGCTTAATTAGTAAGGGCCAATAACTGGAAAAACAAACAAACAAACAAACAAACCCATGTCCATTAGTGGGTGAATGGTTAAGCAAACTGTGGTACATCCATACTATGGAATATTACTCAGTAACCAAAGGAACCAACAATTGACATGTACAACAAAACTTGGATGGATTTCAAGGGAATTATGCTGAGTGAAAAAAATCGATTTCAAAAGGTTACATTCTATAGGATTTCATTTATGTAACACTCTTGAAATGATAAAGTTAGGCTGGGCATGGTAGCTCACACCTGTAATCCTAGCACTTTGGGAGGCTGAGGCAAGAGGATTGCTTGAGGCCTGGAGTTTGAGACCAGCCTCAACAACACAGCAAAATTCCATCTCTATGAAAAAAAAAAATTGGCCAGGTATGATGGAGCATGCCTGTGGTCTCAGGTACTTAGCAGGCTAACTCCCAGACTAGAGCCCAGGAGTTTGAGGTTGCAGTGAGCTATGATGATGCCACTGCCCTCTTGTACTCTAGCCTGGGTGACAGACTAAGACCCTGTCTCTAAAAAACAAACAAACAAAAAAAAAAAGAAGAAGAAGAGAAAAGGAAACAAATGGTATGCGGAGGCTGGAGTGAGGTGGTAAGAAGGGAGGTGGCTGTGGCTGTAAAAGGGCAACATGAGAGATCTGTGTGATGGAACTGTTCTGTCTCTTGGATAGTAGTCACATGAATCTACACATGTGATAAAATTGCACAGAACTAAATACATATACACGAAAAGAAAAAGTTCAAGCAGTTGAGCACAAATATTTTAATTGTCTAAAATGAAATTTTAAGAGTTATCTACAGTTTAAAGTTCACTTTTATGAGGTGTCACATCAATCACCCTTGAAAGAGACATAAAATTATGAAAAGATATCACTAGAAGCTACGTAAACATTTCAGCTAAGAGCCAAGAGAAAGTTAAAGGTGTTTTCATAAGAAAACCAAAGAAGACAATCAGAATGAAACAAGTTCAACATGGTCATACAAATTTTGGTGAAAGGACTAGAGTGGAAGCCCAAGCTGATGAGCAAGTGGGAGAAGGAAAGAAAAACATGGTTCAAACAGATCACATGAGGAAACCCAGTACAAATGCTGGCTTTGGCATTATCTAGGTAACCCCAATTTTTTTGCCATAGGCATCTCTAACAATAGTCCTATTGTTGCAAAACCAGTCCAAATCCTACCAAGTTAAAAGAAGTCCCTCATTGACTTGTTGGGTGTTAAGTTGGTACCCCATGTCCTCCCACAACAAAAGAGATCAGTTCTGGCAAGAAAACTCCAATGTGCCTCGATGGTGCCGTTGGTAGGATGCCTGAGGCCAGGCACATCCCAGCGATGTTTTGCTGGCTGAGATACAAGGTGGGAGGAGACTGCACCTCATTCATTACTCAATCAACTTCTTGGCCTTGAAGAAGCGACGCAGGTAGAAGACCTGCCAGGTGGCTAGTCCAATGAGGCAGAACATTGAAAAGATGCTGAAGTACAGGACCCGAGTGTTTGTTGACTCTAAAAAACAAAAGCATTGTAAATGTAAGGAAGTGAGTCTCCTCAGCTGGTGAAACAACTGGGGTGGGGGGCTGGGGGAGGCAATTAATCAACTTCACTCTGTCCCTAGGTCTAACAGTAGGATCTCAGATTTTTTTTTTAAGTTCATTATTCTATATATGAATGTTAACAATTACAAAGATTCGTGCTATCAATTGGAGATGCCTATAAGCTGAGAATATGAGAGTATGGTCAACTGTATATCAAAGAAAAAATTTCTATTCTCCTGAAAATCTAGGAAGGTTCAAATCCTTTAGCAGCAACAGCAGAAAAGCAAGCAATCTGCCTCCCACACCACTTCCCCCACCTTTGGCAAAACTGAGAAAAAGGTATAATCAGAATTTAAACTTTGGGGGTCTATCTCCTTTATGGGTCACTTGTTGAGAAAAAAGAACTGCCCTCCCCTCACCATTAGTATCACGCATCTCCTCCTCTCTCTTCTTCATGTAGGCAAAATCATTAACGATAGATTCTGAAAGGTCTTCTAGGCGACGTAGCTCCACTTCTAATGGTTTGAGCTTCTCAACTTTTGCAATCTGGAAAAGAAAGAAATTAGGAACCTGCTCCTTGAAAAACTTGCTCTGATCAAGAACACAAAGAAACAGGAATCTTTTTAGAAAAAAGTATTACTAGATTTATATTTTCTCCTGTCGATCAACTTAATGTATTTTAAAATGTGGGCTTCTTCCTTTCCCTACAAACTATTTATATCTTTCTGTCTCACACCTTTTTTTATACTTTAATTTTGATAAAAATTTCTTTAGAAGTATATATACAAAAGCCTGTAAAGTAAGATATGCTATTTATTTAAAGTAAGATATGCTATTTTCTCAAGATTTTTACACTTGGGCACTTTACACCTTGCCCTTCCACTCATATTTAAGAAATAAACAATAGTATTAGTAAGAGTCATATTAAGTCAAACCCGATTTTATTAATAGAAGGAAAGCCACTGAATTCCCAATAGTACACAGAGTATGAGAGTATGTATTATAGCATTAAGGCATAATTCATTTCTTTTTCTTTTTTTTTCTTCCCCATATCAACAGGGATGGGCAAGGGCGTATAATTCAAAATTACACACTGAATTCTGGTTTGCTCATATATATATATCACAATAATTTTTTATTTTATTTATATTTATATTTTTAAAGGGGGAAGTAAGGAAGGGTGAGGGTGGGGTAGGGAAAAGTAACCGGAGCAGTGAGAGCCAGACTCGCAAATTTAAGGTTTATGTCAGAGCTCAGAGCTGAGATGAATCTGTGGTTTGCTAAAAAAATTCCACTGAGTTCTTTTTTTTTTTTTTTTTTTAGAATAACACAGTCAGTTATCAAAAGAAATCTTCAAGGTCTTCCCTGTATGCTGAAGAATTATGGGTGTGAGAAAGAAATGAACTGTCCTCCCTTCTAATTCTAGATCTCTGTGAAACCTCTAAGAGTATCTAATAATCAGAGACATATGACACAAACAAGGATTTCATTATTCTGGCTTTTTCTTATAAATCTTAGAAAATGGCTTGCTTTAACATGGGATAAACTACCAGAGCTTTCTAATTTTAAAACTCTTATATACCAGCTGCTCTTAAGTTTCCACATAGGGAATTCTTTTTCTCTATCTGCTTCTTTACTCCCTATCTACCATACATTCTCTATAGAATTCCCCACTTTTTCTTCTCTTTTGTTCAATTCACCATCCTTGTTCTTTCTCTGTTAAATATTAACAGAGATGAAATAGTTAACATAGGATGAAAGGAAGGAGTTTAAGGATGAATTTTACCTTCTCTTTGCTTATCTATATCCTTCCCAGCATGTGGAAAGAACAAGTCAAAAGTTATTTAGAATAAAATAAGAAACTGCTGTTAAGATAGGGCTATAAAAATTCAGTTTATATTTGAAATATATAAAAATGTGGCGATGGATCTGTGATGATACAATCAAATTTTCTTTCACTGGATGCACATTTTCTTACATTTGTAAAATGTTGGCTTGAGTTAATGGTGTGACTGGCAGCTGCCGAACAGCTTTTGGGTACAGAATGTAACCAATGGTTGGTTAATGCATTGAGCTAACTTTCCTAGCTGAATGCCCAAATGCCAGGTTTTGCCATTAGCCCAGAATATATAATTGTTTGATTGATTTCATATAAAGCTACAGAGTAAAAAAAATTTTGCCAAGAAAAATATAAGAGATACACAATAAACTGTATCTTAGTCTGTTAACATCTTCCCTTCCGCTCTATACTTCCTCTTCCAAAGCTTCCTGAATCAGATAATATAAGGGAAATGGCATGACACTTCTTAGAGATAAATTATTTAAGGCTCCCTAAATAGAAACTTGAAAAGAAACTGGAAGTGAAAATATGGCTGTGCCTCTTGCCAGCTGAAAATATTTTAAAAATTACTTTGAAGACTTCTTCTAGCCCCTCCCTGCCTTTTAGTTAAATGACAACAGCCCAAAGGTCTAAAACACAAAAAAGGATGACAGAATTAAACCTGGTACTGAGGATGAACTTTGTAGATTAAAAATCTACAAAAAAATCTGGAATCCCTTCCCAGTATTATTTTTTAGTTGTATAATCAACACATAAACATATTCTCCTGCTAAAAATTTAAACTATTCAGAAACAGAAGTCCACCTTCATAGTTCCTTGATTCCCACATCCCCACATTCCTTTTCAGAGGTGACTATGGTTATAACTTGATGTGTAACTTTCCATACATAAATAGTATATATCTTCTACTAATAAGATATACAATTCCTGGGCTCAAGTGATCCTCTTGCCTCAGCCTTCTGAGTAGCTGGGACTACACAGGCACACACCACGACATCCGGCTAATTTCTGTGTTTTTAGTAGAGACAGGGTCTCAGTCTTGCTCAGGCTTGGTCTCGAACTCCTGAGCTCAAGCGATCCTCCCGTCCTCCCGCCTCGGCCTCCCAGAGTACTAGGATTATAGGCCTGAGCCACTGCACCTGGCCTATAAAGCATTATGTATTAACTTCTACCACAAAGATACACATTAAAAAAATGCAAAGAAAGTAGTGAGAGATTAATTCTAGTTGGGAGGATAAAGGGCAGCTTAACAGGAAGTGGGTGAGCTGCGTCTTACAAGCAGGGTATGACTTTGAAAGAGATGAGAGAAGACATTTGAGGCTGGGGGGGGACCTGTAAACCAAGACGAGGGAGGGAGAAAAGTACAGGCCATCTTCAGGAGACTATGAATAGTCTAGACATAAGTAGTCTAATGTGCTAGAAGCTAGACTAGAGGGTGTGTGTGCATGTACACAAATACATGCCAACGCTAGTGCTGGCGGAGGGTGGTGGACAACAGCAAATGAAAGGCTCAAGCTGAAGTTAGACTGAAGCTAAATTAGGGAAGGGGATGAAAAAGGTAGTATAAATGAATGAGACCTATTTGTATATGCTCAGAATGTGGTATGTATAATGTGTGGTATATTTTATAATCTCATTTAATCCTCATAACCCAATATGGTGAGTATTATCCTTACATTTTTCAGATGAGGAAACTAAGGCTTGGAGATGTTAGATAATTTACCCAAGGTCTCACAGCTCAGTGGAGCTAGGACTGGAGTCCAAGTCTATCTGAGTTTATACTTTATGTTGTAGGTACTAGAAATCTGATGAAGAAAACCAGATGACTACACTAAGTTTTTCCTGAATCAAGGGTGAAATGAATAGGCTATTCTAGGCAACAAGGATCTGGATAAGCAGTCTAGTTTGTTTGACTAATAAAGTTTGACTAATAAACATACTGGGTTTCCCACTGCTATTACTTTTGCAGGCAACCGAGTAAATTTTTTAAACAAATTATAAGTTTTCTCAAGAAGATCCTCTTTACTTGCTCAGGATGAAGCATTCAATGACTATCATCATAGTCATACAGTCTAAAAAGCTAAAAATGAAAGCCTCAGTATCAAAATCCCCACTGACTTTTGTTCTGCTCTTCTAAACATTTGATTTGCTATTCAGACTATCTGTAAGAATGGCAAATTATACATGCTTCATGAAGGCAGGTCAGTATTCTTTTAGTCCACTTCTCTCCTCTATGGTTGGAAGCATGAGGTATATTTTGCCACCAGCTTTGAAAAAGCAGTCTATATGACAAGATGTACCATAAGTTCTCCACTAGGGGGTGGCACTCCCATGGTAAGCAGCATATAGCTGTTAAATAACCAAAAGATGTTAGAGCTACAAGAGACTTCATTTTACAATGAGCCCCCCATTTTACAAATTAGGAAACTAAAGATGCCATAAAGTTACTCAGCCTTTGGGTGGCAAACCAAGATCAGCAGCACCATGGTCTTTTAACTCCCTATCTAGGGTCATTGAAGCATTTATTTGGCATCAAACAGCAAAACTCTGCTGCAAAATACAAGAACAGAATTCCTGACTTCGAGAAGCATATACACTCACTATACCCAAATCCTACCTATCTTTTAACATTTAATTAGGAAGCTACCTTCAACCACTCCCATCCACAATGACTCCTTCATCCCTAAAGATCTACAGCACTTAGACTGTATCACACAATTAACAATCATACACTGTCATATTCACAAACTGTTTTGATTTTTATTCTTTTTTGTTGTTGTTGTTGTTGTTGAGACAGAGTCTTGCTTTGTTGCCCGAGCTAGAGTGAGTGCCGTGAGGTCAGCCTACCTCACGGGAGGTCAGCCAACCTCAAACTCCTGGGCTCAAGCAATCCTACTGCCTCAGCCTCCCGAGTAGCTGGGACTACAGGCATGCACCACCATGCCCGGCTAATTTTTTCTACATATATTAGTTGGCCAATTAATTTCTTTCTATTTATAGTAGAGACGGGGTCTTGCTCTTGCTCAGGCTAGTTTCGAACTCCTGACCTCGAGCAATCTGCCCACCTCGGCCTCCCAGAGTGCTAGGATTATAGGCGTGAGCCACTGTGCCCGGCCTGATTTTTATTCTTTTCCCTCACACTAGTTTGCTCCTTTAACAAAAGGAAATTAAAACGATTTATAGTTTGCGTAATACTAAATATCTGATGCATAGTAAACACCTGTAACTAACCTGTTATGTCCATTCTATGCCTTCTTCAAAGGAGTCAACTTTCTCATAGTAGGTGAGTGCAGCTAGTCCCCTAAAGCAAGTGCTTCCTTGTTTGCTAAGAGCACTACATCTGTCTTCCCTCAGCAGTCATTTTCATTAAGCCCAGTGCCTGGGAGAAAGCCCTCTCTACAATACCAACCATTCTCATCTGTCTTGGTAGGTACTGTTTGGAAAACTAAATGCTACAAAGCCTTTCTTTGTATACCTGTAACACCTCCAAAATATCAGTAAAATTAAACTCTTCTTAAACCATATTCAAATCTTCTATTCTAATGATGATTTCAACCTAGAGTTCATAGTTATATGTAACTGTACCAAGAACAGGTGTTAACTCTCTGAAAACCTGCTTCTTAAACACAGGTATTAATCCAGCCTCTAGAAAATCTCTAGATACCTCTCCTTGGTGGAGCATTGAGACCCAAGAGAGAAGCTTCTTGTGACAAGCCAAATTCGGCCAAATTAGTTTGTTGTGCCCACAGCCCTCATAAACTCCAGAAACAGAGTAATAAATGTTAAGACCGTCAAGTCTAACATAATTGAGATAAAGATGACATACCTACATCCAAGGACAAATCTACTTGTACCTGAGGTGGGGATATATGAATCACAGCCTAGTTACACAAGTTCTAAAGGTCAAGAGGGTGCCAAAATAAGTCCAGTTAATACTGCCAGTCTTAGGGCTAAGCGAAATTTAGAAAGATCCTATGTACTCTGTCATGGCCATTTGGCAGTTTCCAGAACAGGTAGGAGCAGAGAGCTAAAATATATTGAAGTGACCAACTGTGTGTTGGGTACTTACTCATGTTATTTCATTTAACCTATGTCAAGACAGGGATTTTGGATCTAGTACATGGAACCAGAGTTCTTCCTGTGGGTATTCAGAGAAATAGAACTTTTGAAAAAGTCTTCAGCTATTGTTCCAACCAGGCAGCACTTTGTTTCTGGTGTACCTGTTGATAGCAAATGACAAACTAAAAGCATCCCTAGGCAGAACAGGATTTTACTCATGTTGAAAATGCTGACATCCACAGCAAAGAAGGGACATACACAGCCCAGAAGTTAGAGGATGTGTCCCATAACTCCTTTGTGGGACAGTGATTGCCTTCACTCTCTCAAACTGCATGACCAGTCCCTACAAACTGCTGCTCTAGTCAAAGACCACAAATTAAAAAGAAATGGCTCAGTTCATATACAGAATCTACAAAGATGTCTCCTGCTGAAGGACAAAAGCAAGACAATGGCCAGAGGTTTGTAAAATACCTCACAGGTAATCTAAAGTCCTTTATTTCTGAGGACATAAACATTCTTTTTCTTTAAAGAATTCAAGCTACAAAACTTAATGTTTCCATACAATATGGCAAGCATTCTGTCTTCCAAATAATAGCATCTTATATTTGTGTTGTGTTACATTGCAATTCCATGTATGTAAACTAACAACAATTTAAGCAGATAGTGTGGTACTCTGCCCAGCTATTAAGACACTAATTACTAATGAATTTACAGGACCACATGGGATTTCAGAATTATGAGTCCACAAATATGAGGGAGCGATGTGTTAGATGTGAGGAAAATTAAAGAAATGTGCCATTTTCCTGAATCTTTATACTGACGTCAAAGGCTCCAAATCTTCTGGAGATAAAGGCTCTCCATTATCTCAAGGGCCCGAAATTAAATGCCTCAAAAACTCTACAAATGCTTCGTACTCTGTGGTAATTAATCAGGGAACAAAGTGCTTCTATTATCCATGTTCTTGTCACAGGCATTAGCCCAGAGACAACTAACAGCTATTTCTAAGCAAGGTTCCAGGGAGCCTAGCCATATACTGAGAAAAGGGCTGGTCTTTGGCCTGTGTCATAACCACTCCTCCTCTACCTCAGTCTGGTCTGCTATTTGCGGGAGAGAGGGGAGTTAGTAAAGAAAGTAGTGGGGAGGAGTTTCTTAGTTAAGAAGCAGAACCTTAGAGCTGTGTTGTAACCATGTGCGTAAAGAAAGGCTTAGGACGTGCCAGACATGTGAAGCAGGAAGCAGGCAAAGGAAGCACTGTGGTTTCCTTTTGGCTAGGGATTCCCCTCTTGGGTTAAGCAGAAGGTCAGGAAAGATAAAGCCCCTTTCCCAATGTCAATAAAGCCCAAGGATGATGGAAATTCCAGGAAGGGGTTCTAAAATGTTATACAATAGTTATATCCAAATCATTCTTTATGTAAACCAATAAAAATGTCATCTGTTTTTGAGGGGAACTAGCTATGTCTAATGTCTAACAGGGCATCAGGTGCCCTGTTATTTAATAAATACCCTTAATGACAGATATCATGTTTGAGAAAAAAGTTACAAGTAAAATTCCACAATGAATGCTTGCACAGAGAATGGTCCACAGTGGGGGAACAGTAAACACATGCTGAAAATCATTTTACCTATTCTCCCACCTCATAACTACAACATTTTTCTTAGTGTTTTATACCTTACAAAAGCACTGTAACACACATTACCTATTTGAAATATTAAGATTTTCTGAATCATGAAGTGAAAAGATTTTTCAATTTACTCTTAAATTCATCAAATAAAGAGGATCTCTTGTCTTATTTCTTTTAATTAAATAAGCCTAGAGACTAAAACAAGCAATTGAAAGTCTCTGCTGGGAATTGTCTCCCATTCACTACTGTTATCACTTGCTCCTACTTATTGCTTCTAGATAACACTAGCTAGTTTCATTTAACTGAACATTTGAACAAGGAAAAAGAGGAAAGATCCCAAGAGCCGCAATTGTACTATTTCTTGTTGCAGAATTAACCAGTCACTTTCAATCTTCTTCCATTTTAGGATATTTCCCTTCCAAAGTCCTGACCAAAAAGAGCATGTGCCATGATTCCTAGACAAATCTTCTCAATCACTTAAAACAACTTTGCCTCATTTATTTAGTTTACATTCTTCAAAAGCCATTTACATTTCCTGTACCCCATCCTTTTCTTCATGCCCTCAGGTACAGTTTTGCTGGGTAAAAATATTCTTATCTTTTTATAAAAGATCAATTCTGTGAAGATCAGTCTTATACAGTTCCTGTGGTTTTTCAAAGCTGCTCTTCATTTGAAGAACCATTTTGTACTGCCTCCAAAGTCTCTTATAGAGATGAAAAAGGTTGTTTCCCTTCTCCTTAGTATCTGCACACCTCCACTTCACCCAAATAAATGTCAGTTTTTATTACTCTATAATACTTCCTGTCAGCATCAAATTTCTATCCATTATCTCTATTGCTGGTCTCTCTCTCTCTCTTTTTTTTTGAGACACAGTCTCATTCTGTTACCAGGGCTAGAGTGCTGTGGCATCAGCCTAGCTCACAGTCAACCTCAAACTCTTGGGCTCAGGCAATCTTCCTGCCTCAGCCTCCCCAGTAGCTGGGACTATAGGCATGTGCCACCATGCCAGGCTAATTTTTTCTATATGTTTTTAGTTGGTCAATTAATTTCTTTCTATTTGTAGAGATGGGGTCTCACTCTTGCTCAGGCTGGTTTCGAACTCCTGACCTCGAGCAACCCGCCCACCTCAGCCTCCCAGAGTGCTAGGATTACAGGCGTGAGCCACTGCGCCCTGCCTAATACAACTTTTATATCAGTAAGATCACAGCTGGCTATCATATGACTGCTGACAAAACCACAGCTTTCTGGGCAAAGCACAGCCTGTTGTCCTGACTAGGTCACAGAAACCTCACAGCACAACATGCTACTCCTTCCTCTGGCTGTTACAGCAGGACATACCTCTTCATAATTTTTTGCCTCCACTCCATGCTTCATGTCTAGGATCACGAGTTGGTCAGGTATCCGCCCTGTTCCTGAGAAAGAAATCAAAGGATTCATTGTGTGGAATACTTAAAATTCCGGGAAATCACTCATCCACCCTCCCTCTCCCTAACCCCTACCCTCTCAATAGAGGGAAACAGCCACAACTCCTCCCCCTACTCAGCTGCAAGAAATTCCTGGCTCTGGCTAAAATCACAAACATTCCAAACAAAGCCTCTATCTGTGTGGGGTGCCTGAAAGCAACGCAAACATGCTACTGGCAAACATATCTGAGCAGGCAGGACATAAGACACTGCAACTGGTAGGTACTACAGAAGAATAAAATAGGAGAAGAGAAAACACGTGGGCTTATGAAAGTGGGAAATAAAAGTCAAAACAGTGTGAAAGAGAGTGGCATATAGATCAACAGATAGTAGGCACCAACTTAGGCTGAAAATGCATATTTCCACAACTGAAAAGGGTGCCTTGTCAAATTTTGAAAGAAGGTGATGCCCAATTAGGATAACTGGGTATATGCTAAGTTTGGCTTTACTTAATACAAACTTGAGTACTGAAAAGGATACAGGTTTTATCTAATATTCCACTTTAATTCAAACATTATGATAAATGTATGGCCTATTTTAATAGGTGAGTAAAATGTTATAGGGCTATTCCCACTAAGACCTTGAAATAACTCAAGAAAAAAACTTTACAATAGGAGTACAAATCTCAGGCATGAGTCTTGGAAAGAAAAATGTTTATTTGGGATAGTAGGGCCAACAAAGCAGTGTTCATATTAGAAAAGTTAATCTGATTCAACTTGATCAAAAAGGAACTCTAATCTTAAATTATCAAGTAGGAGAATGGAAAAGACCCAAAGAGCCCCAGAACACTGTTCAGCACCAATCCCCTGGAATTTACGTACTTATAAAATTAAATGCTGCCTGCATGAAATTTAGAAGTTTTGGGAAACTTGGTGCCACTTAAGCACTGGGGTTCCTGAGACCAGAAGTCATAGGGAATGGTAACGTACTCTATAAGGAATGAGACACATTGGAAGTTTTCTGAAATGAACTGAAGTCAATACAATAACTACTCATCCAAATTCACTGCGTACTAGAACTGTGTTAGAGATTTTTAAGGACTATGCTATGGTTTAACTGTGCCACTCAAAGTTCATGTGTTGAAAAATTTATTATCAATGTAACAGCATTGAGAGGTGGGACCTTTAAGAGGTGATTACGTCATGATCACATTTAAGAGGGACCTTAACACCATGAATGGATTAATGCTGATATCATGGGAGTGCATGTGTTACAAAAGTGAGTTCAGTCCCTTCTTGCTCTCTCTTGCACACACTCTCACCATGTGATGCTTTCCACCATGTTACTGTGACACAGTAACAAAACCCTCGCCAGATGTGGCCTCTCAATCCTGGACTTCCCAGCCTCCAGATAAACTTCCACTGTGTATAAATTACCCAGTATGTGGTGTTCTGTTATAGCAGCCAAAATGGAGGGTACCCTAAGACAGGGTACAATCTACCTTCAAATAATTCAATGGGGATCTAAGACATATAGACATACACAGTTATGTCAGACATACATAACAATTATAGTGAAAATGCAAAGTGTAAAATTTTAAGCCAACACAACTGGTTCAGATAATCCCAGATATGGAGCAAAGGGAAGAGGAAGGAAGAGATTAGTTGTGGACAGACTTCACTAAAGAGGTAGCACCTAAAGGCAGGACTTTGGCAAAGTATTCTAGGCAAAAGGCAAAGCATGAGCAAAGGCTCAGATACTCAGATGAGTATGGCATGTTTAAAAAACAGTAAAGAACTTCTTTTGGATAGACTAGAAAGATTAATTTGAAAGCAAGAGAAATAGACTATATAGGTAAGATTAAGAACAAAGACAAGTTACATATGTCTTCTGAGCATTAAACCAACAAATCTCCAAGCAAAACAAAACAAAATGTTACACTCAGCATGGTCTGCTCTCCCAAATTCAATGTGGAAATTGTGATTATGACATTGCCCAGAGGAGATGTAATGCAAATTTTTGCTTTTCCTTCATCACTTAAAAAGTTGTGAAACCTAAGCAGCTCACAAACCCGACCTGGTCCATGTGATCAAGACACCCTCTTCCTAACAGTGTCTTCCAACTCTTTCCATTTGTCATAGCACACTATAGTTATGCGCCACCTAATAAGGACAGACTGCATATACAACTCTAGTCTCATGATATTATAATACAGTATTTTTACTGTATCTTTTCTATGTTTAGATACACAAATACTTACCATTGTGTTACTGTTGCCTACAGTATTCAATACAGCACCATGCTGTACAGCTTTGTAGCCTAGGAGCAATAGGCTATACAATATAGCACATGTGCATAGTAGGTAGGGCACACCATCCAGGTTTGTGCAAGTACATTTGATGTGTACACAACAACAAAATTGCCTAAGAACCACTTCTCAGAATATATTCCCATTGTAGACACATTACTGCATTAGCATTATTCAAGTCCAACTGAAACCTCAAAACCACAGACCTCTGGCTGGTCAGAGTCCAGACTGTGTAGTCTCTGGCATAGAAAAGTCAGCCTATCCTCCTAGCTGATAACATGGCCCTAAAGGGTCTCCTTTGTAAAAAAGACCCTTCAGTAATTTCTCTCTGCATTTGCCTGGCAAACAGACAATCCTTTTTTTTTTTAAAAGACTTTATTTTGTTAGAGCAGTTTTAGGTTCATAGCAAAATTGAGAGGAATGTATAAAGACTTCCCATATCCTTCTTACCCCCACACATGCATAGCCTCCCCCATCATTATCTCCCACCAGAGTGGTAGGGTTCTTACAAATGCTGAACCTACATTCACACACTGTTATCACCAAAGTCCACAGATTACATCAGGGTTCACTTTTGATGTACATTCCAAATGTAATGTTGGGACAAATGTATACTGACATGTATCTACCATTAGAGTATGATACAGATACTATAATCCTCTGTGTTCCACCTATTCAATCTTTTACTCTTCCTAGACAATCTTTTAAAAGGTGCTTCAAAGACTACAAGATATCAGGTCTCCATATCAGAATAAAAAAAAGAACACAAACGAAACCAGATATCAAGTGCTGACTATAGCAGGAGGCACTAAAGGCAGGTAAGATGCTTACCCCAGGGAAAACACTCTCACTACTTACCCTTGCTCTCAAAACACACTTCAAACATGTCATAATCTTCAGTGGTAAAGGCAAATTTCCCCTTGGTTGCATCCTCCTTGGAGTAGAGAATATGGCCAGCAGAATCTGTGATCTAAAGTAAAAACTTAAGTAAGAATAGGCAGCTAATAACACCCAGGAAGAGAACTTAGAGAAACTGGGAGACACTATTTATGAAAGACAGTTGATAGCTCTCATTATGATGACTATGTTCCAACACCCCAAAGACAGGAACTGCATTAGAAGATGTAACCCAAGTACAACAAATTTTATTCATTCAAATAGCCTAACCACACTGCAGGCTAAAATCTGTTGCTGCTAAGACATACCAAAAAGTTGATCCAGCCAATGCTCTAAGTTGCATAAATTGGGGTTTATCGGCAAAACCTCAACTTTATAGAATGTAGACTTAGTTTCTTTCATTCCCTATGGAGGGAGGGACATGTCACAAAAATGGAAGTGGCCGATTACTAAAAGATTATACGAGAGGGAGAAAGATATGTAAAAACACATTTCTTATATAAAACAAATTTGATGGGGTGGGGGGTAAGGGTGACAAATGGAATCAGGACACCTGATAGAAAGACAGAAGGAAAAGAAGGCATGCATAGAGAAGAAAATTTGGGAGATCTGTTCCTGCAAATTTCATGTTAATTTTGTCAATGGCTGCATGGGGTGGGAACAAAACATGGGAGATAAACAAAATATTTCTCCTAAAAAAGATATTCTTGGTTCCACAAACAGGTACTCTTTTCTTGGTCCTTAGCTTTATTTCTTCAAATTTAAACTGCTCCATTTACTAGAGAATGGCCGACAAGCACAGACAAAGGGGCATATGTTGGTATAAGTGAATGGCCACATACACTACAAGGGAACAACATGGTAACTTAACATACTGGATCTCAGGCTTCTTTTCTAGAGCACATGGCTGTCAGAAAGGTGATAAAGACACATTTCATCATGTAAAACAAGAAGCTATTTTACAACATGGAACACAAAAGGAGGAGCTTCGTTATATTAAACTGGATGTTCTAATGCTATTTAAAACAGAAGTCTTTTATAGGTGAAATTTTAAATAGGAAATTAAGTAGCTTATATTTGTACTTATGTATTTAAAAGCACTTTATAATAGTAGTTATTTATGAGGGGTCAAATTTCCTCTTTATACTTTATTTTCTTTCAACTTTCTATAAAAGGAGGTTCATTTGTGGTCAAAATAATAATAAAGCCATTTCACTTTGGAAAAAACCATAATAACTAAAGAAAAGTTATCACTACTAGATAAATTTGAAATGATGGGTCAGTAAAAAAGATTTTATAGTACATCTTCTAAATTTCCTAATAACAGCAGTTAATATTAATCAAGTATCTTCTGCCATCCAACATCTTTCACTAATTTGTCAAGCATTTAAGATGTCTAGATCTGTGCTGTCACTGGGGATGCAAGGATGAGTAAGATAGTTCCTGTCTTCAAATGCAGGGCTATGAGTCTAAATGAGCAGAGGAATAAGAAATGAGACACCTTCATTGTGGTTTTGATTAGCATTTCCCTGATGATTAGTGATATCAAGCACCTTTTCATATATGTTAGTCATTTGTATGAGGTGATGGAAAATGCCGATTAACTTGATTGTGGTAATCATTTCACAATGTCTATGTATATCAAAACATAATGTTTACCTTGAATATACAGAATTTTTGTCAATTATATTAATACCTCAATAAAGCTAAAAAAAAAAAAAAGACACGGCTTCACTGCAATGTGAAAAGCTTACTACTAGAGGGTATGCACAGGTGCCATGGTATGGAGGGTCAAGGTGGGTGTACAGAAGGGAGTAACATATGAGCTGAGTCCTAAAGGATAAATCTCTATCAAAGGGAGAATAGGAGTAAAAACATTCAGGGTAAAAGAAGTGAATATGAAGGCCTGGAGTCCAGAAAAAACATAAACAAAAATATGGCATCATCATAACACTAATAGCTAATATTTACTAAATTAAGTGTCAAGTACTGTACCACTGCTTCATATTTTTTTTTTTTTTTTTTTGAGACAGAGCCCTGTTCTGTTGCCCAGGCTGGAGTGCAGTGGCATGATCACAGTTCACTGTAACATCTTATTCCTGGGCTCAAGTGATCCTCCTGCCTCAGCTTCCCAAGTAGCAGGGATTACAGGCACCACCATGCCCAGCAAATTTTTTTATTTTTTGTAGAGACAGGATCTCACTATTGTGCTAAGGCTGGTCTTATTCTCCTGGCCTCAAGTGATCCTCCCGCATTGGCCACAAAAGTGCTGGAATTACAGGCGTGAGCCACTGAGCCTGGCCTGTGTTTTAAATTTAATCCTTACTATAACCCTACAGGTAAGAATTATTTCCCCCATGTTCTACAGGAAGAAACTGAGGCACGGAGAGGTTGGAGAAGTACTGGCCAGATCATGTAGAACTAGAATATCAAGGTAATGAGTTTAAATTTCATTCACTACAAAGTGGAGAGGCAATAAAGAATTTAAAACTAGAGAGTAATGTGATTCAATATACAATTTAAAAAGATGAATCTGAGGTACTGTAAAGACAGACTAAAGAGGGACAACACTAGAGATAAGGAGATGGGTCAGGACACTAATCTAACACTCCAGTTGAGAAATTAGGAAGGCCTTTGGTATAGTGAGAAGGGGACAGATTTGAGGGATTATCAGAAGGTGGAATTTACAGGACAAGGTCAGAAAGTAAATTCCCACAGGGATTAAGTGAGAAACATACTGAATCTAATGGACCAGCATAAATAATAGGGAGTGGCAAACTGGAGAATCCAGGAATGCACGATCACCCAATTTTTCAAGAGAAACTAGACATTTTAACTTTTATTTGAAATCTCCTAATTTTTATTTTTCTTCTTTTTTTTAAAATTTGTATTACTTGTTTACATTATTTTTTATTCATTTTTTTAATATTCTTTTTTCTTTCTTGACGCATCTTTAATAGTAATAGCAGAAAATGAAATCTCCTAATTTTTAAATCTTCACAGCCAATCTCAACATTAGAAAAGCAATCTCAAGGCCAAATGAAACATGCCTGTTGAACCAAGTTCTTCTGGGCCAACAATTTTAACCTCTGCATAAGCCCCCAAGAAAGCTGACTAAAATCACAGAAAAACTGGGCAGTAGTGAGGTCTCAGCTAAGATAATGAACCACAAATTTCTAGTGGTAAAATCCAGCAGCCATGATGAAGGAGCAAAGAAAAGGCACAGGCATTAACTGATCTAAGCCTCGGTTCCAAACCTGAGTGGTTTGAAAAAGGATTAAAGAATCATGCTATATACGGTATAATCTTCAAATCTCTCAAGAACTCCATGGAGATCAGGCTTATTATCCCCATTTTACTGATGAGGAAACTTAGTAATTCATCCATTATTACAATTAATAAGTTGTCTTATGTGGATTTGAGAAAGTGTAGAACTCATGCTCTTCCCACATTCCATGTCGCCCCTGGCAAAAGGAATGTCTGAAAGAAGTGGAATGCACAGAAGCCAAGAAAGACTAACAGAATCTTTAGATTCCTGCAAATCAGAGAGCTGAGAGTCCTCTCAAGTGGGACACAGCAATGTTCAGTGTACATTCTCCACCTTAGAGAGATCAGCACTCGGCTACAAGGTAAAGACCTTGACGTCAGCAATAGGCAAACAACCTGCAAGGGAAAATTTAACCCTGAAAATTCCTAACGGCCTCTTTTTTTTTTTGAGGCAGAGTCTCACTTTGTTGCCCAGGCTAGAGTGAGTGTTGTGGCATCAGCCTAGCTCACAGCAACCTCAAACTCCTGGGCTCAAGCCATCCTACTGCCTCAGACTCCCAAGTAGCTGGGACTACAGGCATGAGCCACCATTCCCGGCTAATTTTTTCTATATATATTAGTTGGCCAATTAATTTCTTTCTATTAATAGTAGAGACGGGGTCTTGCTCTTGTTTAGGCTGGTTTTGAACTCCTGACCTCAAGCAATCGGCCTGCCTCGGCCTCCCAGAGTGCTAGGATTACAGGCGTGAGGTGAGCCAGGCCCCTAACAGCTCTTATTCATGTTACACTTTTTCTGAATAATCATCTCAAAGGAAAAGCATAAAAAAGAATTACTTTAGAAACCTGGATATGCACATATTATAAGGTAAAAGGGTCTGGGGGGAACTAATCAAATCCCAAAGTGTCACCACATTGTAGTCAACAGTATGGTGCCACTCTCCCTTTTTTTCAGAATCAGTTCATACCACTCAGATCTTCTCCATCCCCCAGTCCTTCAAAAACAAAATGACAATTCTCAAGGGCAAAGAGGAAGTTCAAAAAGGTAGACAGCAGGAATAATAGATTTTCACATTCCAAGCTGCTCTAAAAACCCTAATTTGGATTTGGCTCCAAGGAATAAAGTTACAGACAACACAGAACGTCTCTAAGGTGAATTTGGTTTAAAATAAGTTTCCAGATTTGCTCACTGCACTATTTAATTCTAAAGGGAGAAGGGAAGAATTATAGGTTGCTAGAAATGTTTTATAAGTGAAACTGGTAGAGGACAACAGGGAATAATCATCAAGGCTACAGCACTGAACCTACGAGTCACCACAGATTTCATCCTCTCCACACTAAGGCAAGGAAAGAGACTAGGTCACTGGTCTAGGACAAACAACTCAATTTAACAGGGCTTACAAGATTTGGCACACATTTGCCCAACCACCTTATTTCCTGGAAGAACAGATTATGATCTCTTTATTTTCTCCTAGGACATTAAAAGTGTCCTTCAAAAAAAATTTTTTTTAATTTAAGGAGAGGACTCTCCTCACATCATAAAGGGGTTTAATGTAGGTAGTAACATTCTTATTGAGGCACTGGTAAAAATCTTTCATTGAATTACTTGGCAAAATGAATTAAGAGTCTGGCATGTTTTTCTGAAAGACTCCAGAAAAATCTACACCTCCAACGGGTACTCAGAAGGGGTAAATTATTGTTTAAATTGTGCTTTACCACATTTTACTGAGGAATCAGGGATGAACTATTAGCTTTGTCTCTTCTCTCTACATCTAAAAAATTATTAAAGATTCATTCTAGGCCAAAGACTCAAATGTATTTTAAGAGACTGAAGGCAAAGGACCCACCACAACAGCCTGCATCTTTTATCACCATGAGATTTTCCTCCCAGAAACAGTGTGTGATGAAGCTTCGCAGTTCCCTGGGAGCCTCCACATTTCTATACTCCCTATAACCTTCAGATGACACAACTACACAAGGGTATTTATCTGGATATTTGGAAATCCAGGCACACAACTTGACACCTGAACTTTTAGGTTGGGCTAACTCATATGGACTATAGGACATTTTCAATGATCCTTAGGTTTTTCTGAAAAATCAGTAGATTTCCTATCAAGCTCCTGTAACTTTGCAGTTATTTAGGAGCCAAGCCATTAGTCTTAAAGGAATAATAATAAAAAAAAAAAACCATCCCCTAACCTCAACATCATTACATAAACCAGCAGGTAACTAAAATGAGGGAATAGGAAACTGGGCCAAGCTCAATGACTAACCAGAGCTGGCAAAGTCTAATAGGCTGAAATAATAGATTTTAATTTCCTTTACTTAAAATGTTCTGATTACAGATCACCTTAAAAGATCATTTGGTTTCTCAGGAATTGAGAGGTTCCCCACCCTTCCCATGCCCCCCTCCCCCTGTCCGCTTAAATTCTACTAGAGTAAGGGTAATATGTTAAATAACTGCTGGTTTTACCATTAAGGCTAAGCAAGCCCTTAAAAGGATTCTTTTCTTCCCTTTTAACAATAAAAATACTTGTATTTACCATAGAGTTATTTAATTAAACAAAGGTAATATCAAGCTATAAAATTTGTCCATATGACATCAACGAATAGGAAGTAATAAAGATTTATTTCTAGATAACACCTTTTGAAGGAAAGCAAATCAAAGTTCACAACTTAAAAAGTAGGGGGAAAAGTGTTACTTGTACATGCACAGTAGCTGATGTCAAGAATATGTGAATACTCACACTGAAACTGTCAAATAAGTGAGAAGACAGGTCACTAAGAAAATAAACTCACTCAGAATTGGATTTTCTTGGACCATTCTATGCAGTGGCTGGAAACAGGTTCTTGAGTAGGTCCTGCTCTGGAAGCCCACCCCAATTCCTTTACCCAACATTTAAGATAATACCCTGCCTACTTCAAAAGGGTCTCAAGTAGCTTAGGCCAATAAAGCAATTAGGAATAAAAGAGAATACAGTTCACCTGAAGGAAGAAACACGTGTTATGAAGACCCTGAATTGAGCAAACGATATCTGCACAATAGATTTGTCTCTAAGTTTTCTGGAAGCCAAGATTAAAAGACCAAAAGAGAAACAAGTTGGGTTACACATCATTTGTTTTCTAACAAAAGCTCACAAATTTATCTCAGGGACATTTTTCCTGGAACTAACCAGGAACAACAATTTATCAGGAAGGTCCTTGTAAAAGGACTGTGACCAGTATTAGACTCTTCATTTTCAACCACAGTCATGCTAAAGATAACAATACAGTTAAAATGGGTGCTTTTAGTGACTCTCCCTCATGATGAATGGCCTGACCTAACGCAGAGCTGGGACCTGGTTCTCTGCCCTGCCACCCAACACTACTTTTCTCCCCATAATAGCCCACTCTTGCTGCTCACAGAATTCCAACCTTACTCTCTAAAGTTGCAAGAAGGATGCCATTACTTTTGGCCACTTGCTGGCTACCACAATTGTGTTAAAAAACAAACAAACAAAAAAGCACCAGAAAAAGATGTCTTAAAAATATTAATAATCACCCAGATTGGCTTCTAATACCCTTCCTCCAATAAAAGAAACCAGGGCCCCTTGGAGAAATGGTTGATCCTAAGACTGAGGCAGGAACTGTATTAAAGTGAGCCCAGAGCATCTTGTAGTGCCAGAAAGTAAGGAAGTGCTCAAACACAAGAACCCAAAAAACACAAGAATGGTGGTTTGTCAAAGAGACACAGGAGCCAACCCAAAGAGCATACAATAGCCAAAGCTGAAACAATTTGAGCAACAAAATAAAGTAGTATTGGATTATAATCCAAAATATACAATAAATATCTATGAATCCATACTGATATAAATGACTGAATACATAAATGGGGAGAAGAGACAAATCTACTGTGTAGAAGACTCTCAAATAATTTATATAGACAATGTGCCCACAAGGAGGTGATGCATAAATCCTCACTCCTGAAGTGTGGAATGCATAAAGTGACTTCCTTCAAAAGAACACAGTTTAGAAAGGGGGAAAAAGTAACTTTGTAAGTGGAGAAACCTGACAGACACTCAGCCAGATGATTAAGGGTAGCATTAACAGTGATAAACCACCTTGATATGACACGATGAAATGACACTTTGCCTCTGTGGTCTTTCTCCCCAAAACCCATAACCCCAATCTTATCATGAGAAAAACATCAGACAAATCCCAGTAAAGGGGCATGCTACAAAATACTCAAAACTTTCAAGGTCATCAAAAGCAAGGACGGTCTGAAAAACTGTCACAAACTAGAGGAGCCCAAATAGACATGACTAAATATAATGTATCCAGGATGAGATCCTGGAACAGAAGAAATGACACTAGGTAAAACAAAACAAACTATGGAAATATTAATAAAGTATGGACTTCAGTTAGTTTATATTAATGTATCAATACTGGTTCATTCATTCTGACAAATGTATGGTAGTAATATGTTAACAATAGAGGGACCTGAGTGTAGGGTATATAGGATCTATACCATTTTGATTATTTTTCTGTAAATCTCAAACTGTTCTAAAATAATAAGTTTATTTTTAAAAAAAATACTATTCAGGCCTGGCGCGGTAGCTCACGCCTGTAATCCTAGCACTCTGGGAGGCTGAGGCAGGCAGATCGCTCAAGGTCAGGAGTTCTAGACCAGCCTGAGCAAGAGAGAGACCCTGGGGGGAGAGGGGGTCATGGGCAATATACATAACCTTAACATTTGTACCCCCATAATATCCTGAAAAAAAGAAAAAAGAGCAAGACCCCATCTCTACTAAAAATAGAAAGAAATTAATTGGCCAACTAAAAATACATAGAAAAAATTAGCCGGGCATGGTGGCACATGCCTGTAGTCCCAGCTGCTAGGGAGGCTGAAGCAGAAGGATTGCTTGAGCCCAGGAGTTCGAGGTTGCTGTGAGCTAGGCTGACGCCACGGCACTCTAGCCAGGCAACAGAGTGAGACCCTATCTCTTAAAAACAAAAACATCTGATCTCATGTGATGGGTCACAGTCAAAACTTGGTTTTGGGCACAAGCTTATTTAAAATATTGTATACAATTACCTTCAGTCTATTTGTATAAGGAGTATATGAAACATAAATGAATTTCTTATTTTAAATTTGGGTCTTATCTCCAAGATATAACATTATATATTTGCAAATATTCCAAAATCTGAAAAAATCCGAAATCCAAAACATTTCTGGGCCCAAACACTTTAGATAAAAGATATTCAGACTGTACATATACACACATGCCTCTACATTCCCAAGAAATTTAGTCTACCCAGAGTCAATAAATATTTTCACATACTTTTTATGAGGTACATTAAAATAGTTCATTTGGACAAATCTATA